ATACTAGACAGAGGAAATGGCTGTTACCATGTCAAGCCAGCTGGGTACTAGACAGAGGAAATGGCTGTTACCATGTCAAGCCAGCTGGGTACTAGACAGAGGAAATGGCTGTTACCATGTCAAGCCAGCTGGATACTAGACAGAGGAAATGGCTGTTACCATGTCAAGCCAGCTGGGTACTAGACAGAGGAAATGGCTGTTACCATGTCAAGCCAGCTGGGTACTAGACAGAGGAAATGGCTGTTACCATGTCAAGCCAGCTGGATACTAGACAGAGGAAATGGCTGTTACCATGTCAAGCCAGCTGGGTACTAGACAGAGGAAATGGCTGTTACCATGTCAAGCCAGCTGGGTACTAGACAGAGGAAATGGCTGTTACCATGTCAAGCCAGCTGGATACTAGACAGAGGAAATGGCTGTTACCATGTCAAGCCAGCTGGATACTAGACAGAGGAAATGGCTGTTACCATGTCAAGCCAGCTGGGTACTAGACAGAGGAAATGGCTGTTACTATGTCAAGCCAGCTGGATACTAGACAGAGGAAATGGCTGTTACTATGTCAAGCCAGCTGGATACTAGACAGAGGAAATGGCTGTTACTATGTCAAGCCAGCTGGGTACTAGACAGAGGAAATGGCTGTTACCATGTCAAGCTAGCTGGGTACTAGACAGAGGAAATGGCTGTTACCATGTCAAGCCAGCTGGGTACTAGACAGAGGAAATAGCTGTTACCATGTCAAGCTAGCTGGGTACTAGACAGAGGAAATGGCTGTTACCATGTCAAGCCAGCTGGGTACTAGACAGAGGAAATGGCTGTTACCATGTCAAGCTAGCTGGGTACTAGACAGAGGAAATGGCTGTTACCATGTCAAGCTAGCTGGGTACTAGACAGAGGAAATGGCTGTTACCATGTCAAGCCAGCTGGGTACTAGACAGAGGAAATGGCTGTTACCATGTCAAGCCAGCTGGGTACTAGACAGAGGAAATGGCTGTTACCATGTCAAGCCAGCTGGGTACTAGACAGAGGAAATGGCTGTTACCATGTCAAGCTAGCTGGATACTAGACAGAGGAAATGGCTGTTACCATGTCAAGCTAGCTGGGTACTAGACAGAGGAAATGGATGTTACCATGTCAAGCTAGCTGGGTACTAGACAGAGGAAATGGCTGTTACCATGTCAAGCCAGCTGGGTACTAGACAGAGGAAATGGCTGTTACCATGTCAAGCTAGCTGGATACTAGACAGAGGAAATGGCTGTTACCATGTCAAGCTAGCTGGATACTAGACAGAGGAGATGGCTGTTACCATGTCAAGCTAGCTGGGTACTAGACAGAGGGGATGGCTGTTACCATGTCAAGCTAGCTGGGTACTAGACAGAGGAAATGGCTGTTACCATGTCAAGCTAGCTGGGTACTAGACAGAGGGGATGGCTGTTACCATGTCAAGCCAGCTGGGTACTAGACAGAGGAAATGGCTGTTACCATGTCAAGCTAGCTGGATACTAGACAGAGGAAATGGCTGTTACCATGTCAAGCTAGCTGGGTACTAGACAGAGGAAATGGCTGTTACCATGTCAAGCTAGCTGGGTACTAGACAGAGGAAATGGCTGTTACCATGTCAAGCCAGCTGGGTACTAGACAGAGGAAATGGCTTTTACCATGTCAAGCTAGCTGGATACTAGACAGAGGAAATGGCTGTTACCATGTCAAGCCAGCTGGGTACTAGACAGAGGAAATGGCTGTTACCATGTCAAGCTAGCTGGGTACTAGACAGAGGAAATGGCTGTTACCATGTCAAGCTAGCTGGGTACTAGACAGAGGAAATGGCTGTTACCATGTCAAGCCAGCTGGGTACTAGACAGAGGAAATGGCTGTTACCATGTCAACCTAGCTGGGTACTAGACAGAGGAAATGGCTGTTACCATGTCAAGCTAGCTGGGTACTAGACAGAGGAAATGGCTGTTACCATGTCAACCTAGCTGGATACTAGACAGAGGAAATGGCTGTTACCATGTCAAGCTAGCTGGGTACTAGACAGAGGAAATGGCTGTTACCATGTCAAGCTAGCTGGGTACTAGACAGAGGAAATGGCTGTTACCATGTCAAGCTAGCTGGGTACTAGACAGAGGAAATGGCTGTTACCATGTCAAGCTAGCTGGGTACTAGACAGAGGAAATGGCTGTTACCATGTCAAGCTAGCTGGGTACTAGACAGAGGAAATGGCTGTTACCATGTCAAGCTAGCTGGATACTAGACAGAGGAAATGGCTGTTACCATGTCAACCTAGCTGGATACTAGACAGAGGAAATGGCTGTTACCATGTCAACCTAGCTGGGTACTAGACAGAGGAAATGGCTGTTACCATGTCAACCTAGCTGGATACTAGACAGAGGAAATGGCTGTTACCATGTCAAGCTAGCTGGATACTAGACAGAGGAAATGGCTTTTACCATGTCAAGCTAGCTGGATACTAGACAGAGGAAATGGCTGTTACCATGTCAACCTAGCTGGGTACTAGACAGAGGAAATGGCTGTTACCATGTCAAGCTAGCTGGGTACTAGACAGAGGAAATGGCTGTTACCATGTCAAGCCAGCTGGATACTAGACAGAGGAAATGGCTGTTACCATGGCAACCTAGCTGGATACTAGACAGAGGAAATCATCATTGTTTGTGTCCACTACTCCCACCCTAATGAAATAACATCCTATCAGGAACCACAAAATGGAAATATGAAAAAGATAAATGGAAGACTATGACACAGCCTACAACTGAAATAAAATTATTGGACTGGAAATGTAGTTAACATGTTTAATTGCAGACCATTACTAAGCCAAATTATTAATGTATTGCAGCAACTGTGGGAAGGACAATTTTAAATATCATTATAAAACGAAGCACTTTGCATCTGTTTCTATGGTTAATATAACGACTTCCAAATAATAGGAAATTACTCTCCATACCACATTTATTTCCAATTCAGACGTTGTTTTTTCAGTAAAGTACAATAGGCCTTGTAGTCCTGTAAGAACATGTCAAGTTTCACTATTGAGGATTTTCACGTTGTTCTACAAATTAAATAAATAATCTCTGCTATATCCACACAACATATGAAATGTTAGTATTTACTACCAGCCTAACCACGAACACGAAAAAAACAAAACATTTATAATATAATTTGTGCAACTTTAAATAACTTTATTCGAATACGATATCATTTGCATTTGATTCAACATACAACACAATCGCAATTTACTTTCAAATGTCATGTAGCCTACAGTTCAGGAATTTTTCTCTCGCCCCTCTTGATAGGAAATGACCATATTGTATTAGGACAAGTAAAATAGTTTATGGATTACATGAATTGGAAACAAAAAATGCATCCTACACCATGATTCTTCCATTCAAACAACATATAGGGTAAGCTACATTGCCATAATAGATTTGCCGTGGTAAACGAGGAAATTCAATACTTTATTTCAGTTGTACGGAATGATTGTCAAATAGATAAATTGCCCATTGTCAGGTAGAATTGCCGTACTAATATGTTCCGAAGATAATACCCACCAGAAGGTGAAATTATCTTTAAAAATGTTGGTTGCAATGAGGATGGAAACATAACCCTGACATCCGCCTTAGGGAGCGGTTAGGAGGTGGCCAATGCTGGTTGCAATTGAGATCAGCTGTGCAGGTGAATTTAGCACGTATTGATGGTTTACTGAGAGATCAGCTGGCCATAATCTGGTGGCCAATCTTCACTAGGCCCAAAATGGTTGATATGGTCATCTTTGGTGTGTGTGTGTGTGTCTCGTGTGTGTCTCGTGTGTGTCTCGTGTGTGTCTCGTGTGTGTGTGTGTGTGTGTGTGTGTGTAGGTTTTGTCTCTCTGAGACGAGTTGTCCTCAGGAAGACCACTTTCCGCCCAATCTGTGTGTGAAGGTGAATGGGAAGCCATGCAACCTCCCGGTAAGAAACACAACTCCACACACTGTACAATACTCCCAGTTACACACTGTACAGTACTCCCAGTTACACACTGTACAGTACTCCCAGTTACACACTGTACAGTACTCCCAGTTACACACTGTACAGTACTCCCAGTTACACACTGTACAGTACTCCCAGTTACACACTGTACAGTACTCCCAGTTACACACTGTACAGTACTCTCAGTTACACACTGTACAGTACTCCCAGTTACACACTGTACAGTACTCCCAGTTACACACTGTACAGTACTCCTAGTTACACACTGTACAGTACTCCCAGTTACACACTGTACAGTACTCCAAGTTACACACACAAACAAGACCTTCAATTACAATAAACAGTTGATTGAAATGTGAAGTGTGACCCCCCCCTCCCTCCCTGACCTCCTGCCCTCTCTCTCCCTCTATCCCTCCCCCTCTCCCCCTCCCTCCCTCTCCCTCCCCTCCCTCCCCCTCCCTCCTGCCCTCTCTCTCCCTCCCCCCTCTCTCTCTCTCCCTCCCTGTCTCTCTCCCTCTTTCTCTCCCTCCCTCTCTCTCTCTCTCTCTCTCTCTCTCTCAGGGCTATCTTCCTCCAACGAAAAACGGTGTGGAGCCGAAGCGCCCCAGCCGGCCCATCAACATTACCTCAGTAGTCAGACTGTCCACGACAGTCCCCAACACCATCGTGGTGTCCTGGACCTCAGAGGTTGGAAGGGTAAGACATGATAAGATAGAAGAGATGATACATTTTACTATTTTAATTAGTCTCTTCATTTTGTTCTTGTCTATCTTCCATTTTATATTTTTCTAGAAAACATTCGTTTTTTAATCTTCCTGACCTTTTTATTATTTTATGTTTTAAGCACTTTGAAATGACTCCTCTGTAAGAAATGTGCTAAATGAATAAATGTTGATTTGATAAGACCAACGGGGCAAAAACACATGAATAAAAGTAGATGTGAAACTGTGGTGATCTGGATAAAAAGGAGAGTGATTTTAACAACCCTACAGCACCTTCTGTGTTTTCAGAGCTACTCTATGGCGGTGTACCTGGTCAAGCAGCAGTCGTCCACCGTACTGTTGCAGAGACTACGGTCCAAAGGCATCAGGAACCCAGACCACTCCAGAGCACTCAGTAAGGGTCGCCACGACCACACGCTATTTACACTGTTAGCGCTGTTAGCATGCTTGGCTAAATGTATATCTATGGATCTGGCTGAACGGATCCATGACACAAATTTAGCTAGCTACCTATTTAGTTATGACCCGTTTCAACCACGCTAGACGTTTTCTGTATTGTTATGGAGCTCTGTACTATATTCCATGGGAATCGTTGATATACAGTAGGTGGTTGTGCAGGTCTTGTATAGGTTGGTATGACCCCTGCTGCTTCTTCATGGTGTACTCTGTCCTCCTGCAGTCAAAGAGAAGCTAACGGCAGATCCAGACAGTGAAATCGCCACCACCAGCCTACGCGTGTCGCTGCTCTGTCCGGTAAACACACACACACACACACACACACACACACACACACACACACACACACACACACACACACACACACACACACACACACACACACACATACACACACATACACACACACATACACACACACACACATACACACACACACACACACACACACACACACACACATACATACATACACACACATACACATACACATACACACACACATACACATACACACACACACATACATATACACACACACACACACACACACACACACACACTGTCTTAATGCCCTTATTACTCTGCTTTACTGTGTGTGTCCCAACTTGTCTCAATACCCCTATCACCGCTTAACTACTATGTCTGTGTCTTGTGTGTGTTATGTTCAGTTGGGGAAGATGCGTCTGATGATCCCGTGCCGGGCGCTGACGTGTTCCCACCTGCAGTGTTTTGACGCTACGCTGTACATCCAGATGAATGAGAAGAAACCTACCTGGGTTTGTCCCGTCTGTGATAAGAAAGCCCCCTACGAACATCTCATTATTGACGGGTGAGACCCACAACCCTGAACCAGCTTTTAGTGTTTCTATTGCATACAGCACATACTGGACCAACAGGGGCTTCAGAAACTATTCACACTCCTTGAATTATTCCACATTTTGTTGTGTTACAGCCTGAATTTAAAATTGATTTTAAAAAATTGTCACTGGCCTACACACAATAAATACCCCATAAGGTCAAAGTGGAAGTATGTGTTTTTTTTTAAACTAATTAATAAAAAATGAAAAGCTGAAATGTCTTGAGTCAGTAAGTATTCAACCCCTTTGTTATGGTAAGCCTAAATAAGTTCAGGAGTAGAAATGTGCTTAACAAGTCACATAAGTTGTATGGACTCACTCTGTGTGCAATAATAGTGTTTAACATGAATGACTACCTCATCTCTGTACACAACACATACAATTATCTGTAAGGTGCCTCAGTCAAGCAGTGAATTTCAAACACAGATTCAACCACAAAGACCAGGGAGGTTTTCCAAGGCCTCACAAAGAAGGGCACCTATAGGTAGATTTGTAAAAATAAATAAAAAAGCAGACATTGAATATCCCTTTGAGCATGGTAAAGTTATTAATTACACTTTAGATGGTGTATCAATACACCCATTCACTACAAAGATACAGGCGTCCTTCCTAACTCAGTTGCCGGAGAGGAAGGAAACCTCTCAGGGATTTCACCATGAGGCCAAGGGTGACTTTAAAACAGTTACAGAGTTTAATGGCTGTGATAGGAGAAAACTGAGGATGGATCAACAACATTGTAGTTACTCCGCAATACTAACTAACCTAAATGACAGTGAAAGGAAGGAATCCTGTACAGAACAAAAAAATATTCCAAAACATGCATCCTGTTTACAACAAGGCACTAAAGTAATAATACAGCAAATGTGGCAAAGCAATTAACTTTTTGTCCTGAATACAAAAGTGTTATGTTTGGGGCAAATACAACACATTACTGACTACCACTCTCCATATTTTCAAGCATAGTGGTGGCTGCATCATGTTATGGGAATGCTTGTAATCGTTAAGGACTGGGGAGTGTTTCAGGATAAAAAATTAACTTAATGTAGCTAAGCACAGGCAAAATCCTAGAGGAAAACCTTGTTCAGTCTGCTTTCCATCAGACACTGGGAGATGAATTCACCTTTCAGCAGGACAATAACCTAAAACACAAGGCCAAATATACACTGGAGTTGCTTACCAAGAAGACAGTGAATATTCCTGAGTGGCCTAGTTACAGTTTTGACTTAAATCTACTTGAAAATCTATGGCAAGACTTGAAAATGGCTGTCTAGCAATGATCAACAACCAATTGACAGAGATTGAAGAATGTAGAAAAGAATAATGGAAAATGTTGCACAATCCAGGTGTGCAAAGCTCTTAAAAGACTTACCCAGAAAGACTCACAGCTGTAATCACTGCCAAAGGAGCTTCTACAAAGTATTGATATTTCTGTATTTTGTTTTAAATAAATCTGCTACAATTTCTAAAAACATGTTTTCACTTTGTCATTATGGGGTATTGTGTGTAGATGGGTGAGGGGAAAAAATCTATGGAATCCATTTTGAATTCAGGCTGTAACACAACAACATGTGGAATAAGTCAAGGGGTATGAATACTTTCTGAAGGCACTGTATATACTGTATACATCTGTGTTATTATACCGTATCACAGAAACTTACGGCGGGGTCTGCTCCTACAATTCTGTGCAGATATTCTTCATTTTAGACTCAAAAGAAGCACGTCATCCAGGAACATGCCACTGGCCACTTTATATTCAGCTGGGTTTAGTTAGTTAGTTTTATTTTCTGTGCCCAGTTTCAGACTTTTATGGTCACGTAAAATGGCGACGTGTGGATTCAAAATGGGTAGCCCAACAATTCTTTACATGGCCCCAGTTGCAACCAACTTATTTTTCTGCACACATTCAGTATTCACCCATAGGGGTGACATTTTGGGTGAGCAATTGGCATTGAGCAAAATGACAGGAAGTTGAGAATAGTTCATTAGCAGCATGAATTTGTGCTTTGCTGGGGGGGGTGTTGAGTCAAAGGTTCTGTGGTATGTGTTCTTCAAAGATGAAATGGTATTGAATCCAGATAATCAGATCCAATGATAGGGCGGGGTTCTGCTAGTTGACACACAGTATGTACATAAACAACCTTGTCAGTTCTACTGTATACAGTTCAATAATACTTTATTCATTCCTGCAGGAGCTAAATAAGATGGCATTTTCTATACTATAGAATCTGTAGTGTATAGATGTATTCACACACAACAATTAAACAACATGAATAACTCTGTACATATAATGGACTGGAACACAAAATACATGCAACACAACATGAAAACGTTGCGTGTATAGTATATACCTCTAGACTGTTGTTACTGTGTCTCTGTTGTCCAGGTTGTTCATGGAGATCCTGAACAGCTGTGTAGACTGTGATGAGATTCAGTTTAAGGAGGATGGCTACTGGGCCCCCATGAGGACAAAGAAGGAAGTACAGGAGGTCTCGTCAGCCTCCTACAACAACGGAGTGGAAGGTGAGCGAGGCGGTGTGTAAGGGCAGGCTTTTGGTCCAGCCCTGCAGCTTTTAACATACCTGATTCCACTATTCTGCTCATTGGACATTGATTTGTAGAAGAATGTGTGTTAGAACAGAGCTGGAACAAAAGACTGCAAACCCAGTATCTCTGGGTTGTGTTAGTTGATATTCTCCTGGCTTGTTCTCATATCATTACAAACCCAGTATCTCTGGGTTGTGTTAGTTGATATTCTCCTGGCTTGTTCTCATATCATTACAAACCCAGTATCTCTGGGTTGTGTCAGTTGATATTCTCCTGGCTTGTTCTCATATCATTACAAACCCAGTATCTCTGGGTTGTGTCAGTTGATATTCTCCTGGCTTGTTCTCATATCATTACAAACCCAGTATCTCTGGGTTGTGTTAGTTGATATTCTCCTGGCTTGTTCTCATATCATTACAAACCCAGTATCTCTGGGTTGTGTTAGTTGATATTCTCCTGGCTTGTTCTCATATCATTACAAACCCAGTATCTCTGGGTTGTGTTAGTTGATATTCTCCTGGCTTGTTCTCATATCATTACAAATCATTATTACGTCTCATGACTATGCCACTGTACTGCCACTCGCTCTAGGCTGGTGTGGAAATCACTGTGTAGCAAAAATCTTTGCAATATAAATACAATTGATTGATTGATTGATTGAAGCCATGTTTCCCGTGTCTCTCTCCCCCAGGCTTGCATCGGTCAGCGGCAGGGGAGCAGAGGAGCTCGTCGTCCCACAACGGGGGCAGCAGTAGGATGAAGGTGGAGGTGATCGACCTAACCCTGGACAGCTCCTCAGAGGACGACGATGATGACCAACCGCCCCTCAAGAGGCCCTGCGCCTCCTTGTCCCCCACCTCGCCTCCTATCGTCAACAAGGGGTGAGGCCCACATCCTCCAATACATGTCTCACCTCACACCTCTCCCCCCTCTCACCTCTCACCCCTCTCACCTCACACCTCTCCCCCCTCTCACCTCTCAACCCTCTCACCTCACACCTCTCCCCCCTCTCACCTCTCCCCCCTCTCACCTCTCTCACCTCACACCTCTCTCACCTCACACCTCTCACCTCACACCTCTCTCAACACTCTCTCACCTCACACCTCTCTCACCTCACACCTCTCAACTCTCTCAACTCTCTCTCCTCGCTCACCTCTCTCTCCACTCTCCACTCTCCTCTCTCCTCTCTCCTCTCTCTCCTCTCTCCTCTCTCCTCTCTCCTCTCACCTCCCTCTCCCCTCTCTCCTCTCACCTCCCTCTCTCCTCTCTCTCTCCCCCTCTCCCCTCTCTCTCTCCCCTCTCCCCTCTCCCCCCTCTCTCTCTCCCCTCTCCCCTCTCTCTCTCTCCCCTCTCCCCTCTTCCTCTTCTCTCTCCCCTCTCCCCTCTCTCCCCTCTCTCTCCTATCTCCTCTCTCCCTCCTCTCCCTCTCTCCTATCGTCTCTCCCCCTCTCTCTCTCCCTCTCCCCTCTCCCCTCTCTCTCTCTGCTCTCCTCCCCTCTCTCTCTCTCCCTCTCCTCTCCCCCTCTCTCCCTCTCTCTCCCCTCTCTCCTCTCCTCTCCCCCTCTCTCCCCTCCTCTCCTCTCTCCTCCTCTCCTCTCTCTCCTCTCTCTCTCTCTCCCCCTCCTCCCTTCTCCTCTCTCTTCTCCTCTCTACCCCTCTCCTCTCCCCTCTCTCCCCTCTGCTCTCCTCTCTCTCCCCTCTCCCTCTCCGCTCTACTCTCTCCTCTCTCCTCTCCCCTCTCTCTCTCTCCCTCTCTCCTCTCTCCTCTCCCTTTTCTCCTCTCTCCTCTCCCCTCTCCCCTCTCTCCTCTCTCCTTTCATTTTCTTCTAATATTTAGGTTTTTTGTTTGTTTCTTTACTTCTCTCTATCTCTGTGCTGTGTGTGTGTGTGTGTGTGTGTGTGTTAATATTCTGTCTGTCCCCTGTGTTTGTTTGCAGAGTGTTGAACCTGCACCACCAGGTGTCCCCAGTGAGCCGGACCCCCAGCATGCCGTCTGTGGACACCAGCTACATCCCCCCTGTACCTCCCCTCATCCAGGACTACCGTCCATACTACCACACCCCCAACGACCTCACAGGTAACACACACAACTACACACACACTACCACAACTACACACACATACACTACCACAAACACACATGCACTACCACACACACACACACAACTACACACACACTACCACACACACACACTCACACATACACTACCACAAACACACATACACTACCACACACACACACAACTGCACACACACAACTACACACACACACTACCACACACACACACACACTCACACATACACTACCACACACACACACACACAACCACACACACACAACTACACACGCACTTACACAACTACACACACACTACCACACACATACACACACACACTCAGACACACACACACACACACACACACACACACACACACTTACACAACCACACACACGCCAACCTTCTACTACTACACACTACCTGGACACATTTCTTCAGGAGCCTCTTCTGGGTCTGTGGAGACCAGAATGTCCCTGTATACAGTAAACAGTAACGTGTCTGGTTGAGTCAGTTGAACTTGTACTGATCATGGTCCGTTGTGAATGAAATGAATGACTGAATGTTGTGTTTCATCCGTGTTTTATTCACAGATCTGAATTTCTTCTCCTTTCTCCAAGGGGACAATCATCAGGTATGTTTAATGTGGAACACCCCCTATAGGCCTCGTTTAAAGGCAACACTATAACGTCTAAAGACTTACCCAGAACTTGGGTTTGATCACAAGATGAATATAACTGAATATACCTGTTTGTCCTCCTCTGTAGCATTACAACATGGTGATGGCAGCCGCCGCTGCTGCCTCGGCCTCAGACGACCACGAACTCCTGCTCAACCACTTCCGTCCCTACACCACCTCCTCCTCGTCCTCCTCTCAGCTGTTCCTGGACCAGTCTGGGGCGCCCTCCTCCGGCTCGCTGGCGCCCGTCAACGGTGGTGGTGGTGGAGGGAACAGCAGCGGTGGCAGCAGCAGTAGCCTAGTATCCTCTAGCAGCCTGAGAGACACTCACAGCACGCACTCCACGCCCTCGCAGCCGCACTCCACGCCCTCGCAGCCGCACTCCACGCACTCGCAGCCGCACTCCACGCACTCGCAGCCGCACTCCACGCCCTCGCAGCCGCACTCCACGCCCTCGCAGCCGCACTCCACGCACTCGCAGCCACACTCCACGCCCTCGCAGCCGCACTCCACGCCCTCGCAGCCGCACCCCGGCGTAGGAGGTAGATCTAGTAGTGAAGTGGTGGCAGCCGCAGCCCTCTACGGCGCCGTCCCCGACGTGATCTCACTAGACTGACGATTTTGTTCGGGCGACTAGCGACTGACTCCGAAAACAGAGGGTTTGTTGGTTGTTTAATGGAGGATGCAGTCGTGACTAAACTGACCCAGAAACAGTCTGTAACGGTCCCACCCAGTTCTACAGCTCTGGTTTTGAGTTGTGTCGTTAAGGCTGACTCCAGAACAGTGGAGTAGCTGTCTGTGGCGGAGCCGGTCCCGGGGTGTCGTTTGACTGGGCTGACCCAGGAACCGTTATAAAGTCACACCCCACAGATGGATGGGATTGGCACCTTAGTGTTGCTAGACTGACTCCAGAACAGTTATTGGTTCGTAGCTGGCTCCCTGACGTCATTCCACTAGACTGACTCCAGAACAGTGAGATATCAGAGAGGTCTTTGGGCTTCATCTCTGAAGTCGCCGGACTAGACTGAACCTAAATCAGCTCCCTGCTGGTACCTACCAGAAACGCTAGCCGTGCAAAAACGGAGGAAGGCTTTTTTAGTATGAAAAGAGCAACGCTGTGTACAGAGAACAAAAAGTATATTTTCTCTTTTACTTTTGTATATTAATTAATTGAATACTTTTTCTGTCCGTAAGTAACTTCTGTTGCTATTTTGAAGTGGAGACTGAAGATGGGTCCCCATCCACACAGCTATACATACGTTACCCCTTAATAATTGCAACTTTAATATCTCATTACTTTTATTTGTTTCTTATCGTATTTGATCTGATGGGGATTCTCCTCACACATCCATGGCATTACCTCCTGACATTTTCAACTTATCAATCTCTCTCAACTCTTTCATTTGAAGTCACAGTTGAATTTCTTCTCCAGGACAATATATTTTCCCTTGGTTGACTGTTTGTTACCGTACAATTAGTTTTGTATTATGCATTTAAGTTATATATGTAAGATATATGAATAAGTCTCTGGATAAGTGTGTCTGCTAAATGATGTAAATGTAAATATGCATTCCCTAAGGACTTCAGGTTGATGCTGTGGGGAGTGCATAGCTAGCTGGGTAATATTAGACTTTTCTGCTTTTCACCTCTTTAAAGGCCCAGTGCAGTCAGAATTCTGTTTTTCCTGTGTTTTGTATCATATTGTACAACAGCTGATGAAACTAACACTGTAAAAGTGTCAAAAAATGTGATCAGTGTTATTTCCCGATAGTTGCTGGTTGAAAATGTAATCTACACAGGACCTTCTAATCAGCAGGTTTGCATGGGCGGGAATTTCGGCTTTCCATGGTGACATTACCATGCGGTAAATTGGTTAATAGACCAATAACAAAGAGACTTCCAAACCTCTCTGCCAATAACAGCTAGTTTTCAGTTTTCACCCTTCCCACTCAGACCACTCCCAGACAGTCTTAGCAACATTCTTGCTTGAGAAAGTTTTATTCCCTAAAAAGCAATTGTTGCCCATTTGTATGGAAATCTATTACAGTAAGGTACTTAATGTAACCCAAAAATGATACTCCACGGCAATTTTACGCTTTTATTTGAAACCTCGTTTTATTCTGGTTTTGCTTATTCAACCACTGTTGTCACCTTTTGCACAATGCCAAAAATGAACACAACCCACACAGACAGAATGCAGGTGTATCTGGGCGCTACATTGCTTTCAGTCAAGTATCCTTCCCTATCACACACTCTTCCTCTCTGTTTTCACCTGGTAGTTTGTGAGACACTGCAGCTGAACTCATAGCAGAGAGGAGAACCGATAGAGACAGAGAGAAGTACCCATAGAGACAGAGGAGAACCCATAGAGACAGAGAGGAGAACCCATAGAGACAGAGAGGAGAACCCATAGAGACAGAGAGGAGAACCCATAGAGACAGAGAGGAGAACCCATAGAGACAGAGAGGAGAACCCATAGAGACAGAGAGGAGAACCCATAGAGACAGAGAGGAGAACCCATAGAGACAGAGAGGAGAACCCATAGAGACAGAGAGGAGAACCCATAGAGACAGAGAGGAGAACCCATAGAGACAGAGAGGAGAACCCATAGAGACAGAGAGGAGAACCCATAGAGACAGAGAGGAGAACCCATAGAGACAGAGAGGAGAACCCATAGAGACAGAGAGGAGAACCCATAGAGACAGAGAGGAGAACCCATAGAGACAGAGAGGAGAACCCATAGAGACAGAGAGGAGAACCCATAGAGACAGAGAGGAGAACCCATAGAGATAAAGACAGTATTTACAACACAGTAGTTATGTCTATGGGAATATCACTAATATGAGAGACAGTTTCCATCCACCTCAACTTTGAGGTCAAATGGAATCGGCCGAGCTGGATGAGGATGGAACTACTTGTGTAGTCTAGGTGATGGGGACATTTATTTATTTTATAAACAGGAAGCTGGATGGCCTTTGGCACTGTGTCATGAAAGAGAATCAGAATCACCTTTATTCACCAACTACATTTACACAGTCAGAATGTGACCAGGTGAAATGGTGCTGCTAGTGATAGACAACATAGAGACAGAGGAATTTACACAAAGTTTCCATCCATTATATACTAAATAGATAGTGAACATAGAACTATAATAGCATGAGTGAATTTCCAGTGAGGATGTAAAGGTATAGGACTAGGCTCAGACTAGACAGTCACTGCTGGTTAAATACACAGGAGACTCTATCCACTGGAACTCAACAACTGCCACGTAAGCTCTTTCAGAAGATGTTGAAGAAAGTCTGTGTCCGGAATCGAAGCAATGACAGCCATGTTTGTGACTTTTTCCTGCTGAATCAGTTTTCTGCCAACATAGACAATATGAAAATAAAATACAGGGTTTGTTCAGGCTACTGTACTGACTTTTAAAACTTTCCTACATCCCTGCTTTAGGGATAGTCACAATAATCACCGTCATCTACAGTCAAAAGCAGATGCTTTTTTTAAATTTGTTTTAGAGAGAGAGGGAGAGAGACTGTTGTTGAAGTCATTGACATTTCCTTGTCTGTCCGTATCCCAGACACTGCTGGGTTTCTTTGTAGCCAGTCAGGCTTTTCTGCAGTATCATTCTCTCAAGGTGTTTGTCCTCTTCTCTTCCACGGCTCTTCACTTCAAGCCTAATTAACTTTCCCCTCTTGAGATGGATAATCGCTTGCGACAGCTTCCCCAATCACTCTCCAGCTAGTATCCTGAACCAGAGCAAATAACAGGTCAACTCTGCAGCCAGTCGATATGGAGTCCTTCCTGTCTTCTCCCCCCTCTCTCTCTCTCCTGCTCTTAAACCATTGGCTTTTTGATAGCATCAGACCTCTCTGTATAAACAATGTTGTGCAGTATTTTATTTATTTTGTAATCTATATATATATATATATATATCTGATCTATTTTTACACTTGTTTGATTTCCATGGATGTGTGTGTGTGTGAGGACAGAGTTTGGGAAACGCTGGTTTAGGGTACCCTGTTTTAGGGTAGACCAACAAAGTGAGACAAAGATTTGGGGTTAGAGGTTAGGAGGTGACCCAATCACAAATGTCATTATTTATTTGAATGATTGATATATTTTTTTTTTTTCTTCTGATTTGTTATTGATGTCATTGCTCTAGATCTCGGAGATATCTCTTGTGGGTTTAAAGACAAAGTGAGAGCAGACGTCTTAGAATGTGTTCCCATTTCAAATGCTACGTGTAGCCTAGCGTGGGCATGGGATGGCCTTATTGTGAAGTCCGTTCCCACTCCCCCCATTGGTAATATTATGACGTCCGTATCACCATCCCCCCAATCCCATGTGTTTCAACAGTGTTAGTTCCTCCAGTGTTAGTTTGTGTTTTTGCGTCATCCAAAAACATGAGATGAAATTCATTTATATATTTTTAGATAGAAAAAGCTGTACAATAAAGTGGACCTTAACCTAAAAAGGTCAGATTTACTAAATTAATTTAAAGACGGATAAGTTGACATCTGCACTCACTGCCTTAACCCCCAGATTCTGCTTTCATATTTCCAACCAGAGAATAAAAAGGCTTTTCAAGGAAGATGAAACGTTGTACAGTAGACCGATGTCAGTTTGTAGAGAGTACTAGGTGAGAACAGAATATTTATTACTTGCATTGGAAGAAATTGTTTACTTATTGAATGTTGTCTGTTTATGTATAGGAGTTTAGATGTAATAAAAAGCATTTTGTTAACTATCATTGTAGTTCACAAACAAATAGATTCAAGGTATGGGATCGTTCATATTTTGTTCCTTGTCTCTAGTCACCATTTTATGTGTACCATATATTAGCTTGTCAAAATCTAATCTAATCTGTGGCATTTTTAACCTCTTTATCAGGAAAATATACATACAGTATTAAATACTAATGTGGAATGGCAACATGTTTCATTTCCCATGACCCCTAAGTGGCGTACATAATACGTTAATATACAATATTGTGTGTTATTACCACAACCAGACACTGGGTGGCGGTAGACACTCGTTTTGCAGTCTGCGTTGGATGAGGCAGCGTCTAAATCAAATCAAATTTTATTGGTCACATAAACATATTTAGCAGATGTTTATTGCGGGTGTAGCGAAATGCTTGTGTTCCTAGCTCCAACAGTACCCAACACTCTGGCACTATGACAATCTCACCATTCTATAAGTTACGTTATGAGATGGAAATACTTCACCACATATTATTGAACAGATTTAAAAGGATCATATTCGTTATGGAATCCAACAGCTTATAGCAGCATGCGGGGAAACCTCATAACTACGCATACTACTCCATCTAGGAGGAGCCATGTGTGGGAAGGCTTGTCATCCAAACATGGAGATAATGGAACTGCATTGGCTATCTTTTCTTTATTGTTGAAAGTTTCTGAAGGTCGTCGTTGCCCTCCTGCTTGCTTCTCTAGCTCAGTTGCCTCACAGTTTAATTAAAGTTACTCAGTTATTGATTGACAAGTAGTTGAACTACTAAATACTTGCATTTGTGGTGAGTTCTATGATCTCTGATGATAAATCAATGTATTTATCTGTAAAGTGACTATGAAAATTCCCCTAATTTGAGATGTGTCGTGGTTCCAATGAAAAACAAAAGGCATTCAAATGCAATGACGAAAAGTTTTCTGAAGGTGAAATTATGGGGATTGGGGTGAGGGAAAGGGATTGGGGTGGGGTAAAAGGGTTTGGGGGGTGGGGGGGGGGGTAGATTGAGTTGGAGTGAAGAGGAAAGACCGCTCTCCAGAGTGATGAGAAGCAGCCACTTCCCTTCTTCCTCTGCTTGGCTACAGATGCAATGTTGAGCCATCACTGGTATAGAGGGTATCAACTACATGGACCATGGCCTTGCTACTTTGGGTTGAAACATCACCCACATGTACCTGGGGTTGAATGGAGGCTTTGGCAATGGTGTTGTCAACATCTATGGACTTGGACTTGACTATTCACCAGCTCCAAGGAAATGGAGATAACCGACATTTTTCTTCCATAAAACAAATTATATTCTTATTTTTTTATCTTTAGTTGAAGTTTTGACTTTTAAAACTAAAATTAGAATTACAATTAGAAATGTCTCACCTGAACTCATGGCCTTGGTATAGCCCTGTGGGTCGGACATGTCGGGGGACTCTGTGGGAAGACGGCTGATCAGCTCCAGGGAGGGAGATGAAGATTACATGATTCTATTACGCAGTATTTGGAATTCTAATGAAATGCTAATTATTTACACACACTCCTCACGTGTGGAGATAAAGTCCTCAATCAATTGTCAATGATTATGGAATATCCAGTAGGATAAGTTAACGTCTTAACACCTTAATGTTTCTGCACTCAGAGACAATGAGTAAAAGCGTGGTATGTGCCCGCGCAGGTACGCCTGTGTGGTTCTGTTGGTCATAACATTTCTACCCAATGTCTATTTTGGTGAAGCTTTTATTTGTGTATTATCTTTACTCAATCTCTACATGGGATGGTCGAAGAAAGATCTAAATAATGTTTCCAATCAATACAATAGTGTTTATTAGGTTTAAGCCTACCAATACTGTATTTCTGGGCTGAGTAGCCTAATCACTATTGCACAGAAAAGCACATTTTATTCCTTATAAAAACCATTACACGCAGCGTAGCCTATTAGTCAATATCAAGAAAGTGACGCAAATAGGGAATATAGGCTATAACCTAATGTCAATCAAACATTGGCACCAATCCTTGTGCGTTGAGGGTAGGGCATCTAGAAGCGGTCACAATATAAATCCTGTAAGAACTGCAATTGTCAAGACGCTCTGAGCTACCCCACCAAGACATCTACATTGTCAAAGTGTGTGATTATGCGATGATGGGAATGGCGCATAGCAATCGTTGCGCTCTTCTTTCAAACTAAGCTGAGGATGTATTGGAAGCAGAGTGAGCGACTCCAACCATGATTTGAAGCTGGATAGCCTACATTAAACACTCGAATTTAATAACAGAAACAATGACTGAAGGAAACCACAGTAGTGTAGGCCTACTGAATTGGTCCTTGTCGGACCTGGACCGGTTCAGTAGCCTAGAGGACATCGACGTGACAGCGGACGGGACTCCGATTTTGAGGGTCTTCATCTGCATCGTTTACTCGGTGGTGTGCGCTGTGGGCTTGGTGGGCAACTTACTGGTGCTCTTCTTTATCAGAGTGAAACAAGAGAGGAAAAAATCCAGAATCAATTTCTTTGTACTTAACTTGGCAGTGACGGACTTCCAGTTTGTGTTGACTCTGCCGTTCTGGGCAGTGGACACCGCACTGGACTTCAGCTGGCCGTTTGGAGACGCCATGTGCAAAATCATCAGCTCCGTCACCGTTATGAACATGTACGCGAGCGTGTTCTTTCTGACTGCAATGAGCGTCACCCGATACTGGTCCGTCGCCTCCTCTCTAAAGGATCGAACTAGGCAAAAGTCCTGCTCTGCCAAATGGATCTGCGTGGTTCTTTGGGTTTCCGCAACAGCTGCGACGGCACCAACATCCATATTCTCAACGGTGACCAATGTAGCGGGGGAAAAACTCTGTTTGCTTAAGTTCCCTGATGGACAATATTGGTTAGCAGTTTATCACCTTCAGAAAATAATATTTGCATTTGTTTTACCCATGGCCATTGTTTCAGTCAGTTACATCATGCTTTTGCGATTCATCCGCAACCGCAGTATGAAAACAAACAACACCAAACGAAGATCACAAGTCACCAAATCTGTCACCATCGTGGTCCTGTCCTTCTTTCTTTGCTGGATGCCAAATCACGCCATCACATTCTGGGGCGTCCTTGTGAAATTGAATGTTGTGCATTGGGATAAATCGTACTACATAGTTCACACTTATGTATTCCCTGTGACTGTCTGCCTTGCGCACGCCAATAGCTGTCTAAACCCTGTCATTTATTGCCTAATGAGAGAAGAGTTCAGAAAGAAACTGAAAGATTTGTTATATCGCGGATAGTCACTTTACGCAGTGGAAGATTCGGTTACCGTTGCCATTACGCACGCGCTCCATGTTGCATAGTATAGCATATAGGGCGCACGACAAGGGTCTACTATAATAGGCTAAAGCAGTATGTTCTGATGGAGAAAAAAATCACAAAATAGGCATGGGCAAGCACTAACGCAAAAGGGAACAATGATACAGTATCCAATGGCTACCCAAATTGTGCATGAGGCAATTCTGCCTGTTATGGTTCCTCCTATCCATGTGCTGTTGTATTCCCAGATAGTCATCATTAAACGATAGAGAAACCGCCCGGATAGTCATCATTAAACGATAGAGAAACCGCCCGGATAGTCATCATTAAACGACAGAGAAACCGCCCGGATAGTCATCATTAAACGATAGAGAAACCGCCCGGACAGTCATCATTAAACGATAGAGAAACCGCCCGGACAGTCATCATTAAACGACAGAGAAACCGCCCGGATAGTCATCATTAAACGATAGAGAAACCGCCCGGACAGTCATCATTAAACGATAGAGAAACCGCCCGGATAGTCATCATTAAACGATAGAGAAACCGCCCAGACAGTCATCATTAAACTATAGAGAAACCGAGGCAGACTAGATACCGTCTATCATTCCATCATAATTGTAGCCTAGTGGAGAGAAACGTACCCATGATCCAATGTCATCCATCACAGCTGCACGTCAAGTCTTCATTGTGCGCAATGGCATTTGTCACAAATTCACAAATTACATGCAATGGGAGGGAAGTGTAAATGTTATGCCTATGGTAAAAGATGAATGTGAACTTCATAGATTGAAAACGACCATATTGCCTAAAATGTGTTCATGCAAAAATAATGTTTTTGTTTCAAATAAACACCCATATTTAATCTCACCCCGTTGCCTTAATGATTGCATTATTGTGTTTCATGTCAAAATGGAAAACGAAAAACATGACAGTCTTGACACCGATTACTGGAAATTGTCAATTTCCCTCTGAAGCCCACAACCAGTGTTATGAGTAAAACTTGACAGTTTGACAGCTTTTACCGGTAGGCCTATGCATGTATTGCCTAACAGGCCTACCGATAGGCTACACTTATGAATCACATACTTGACCCATATCAATAAAATAATTAATCTCAGTTTTATATTGGCCTATTATCCTATTTTTCAGGACACAATTATTGTTCTTTTTGTTATACTCTTCAGACTAATGAATAGACCTATTCATGATCCTCAAACCCCTTGACCAGCCATCTGTGTACCAACACATGAGACATTTTACATTTTAGTCATTTAGCAGACGCTCTTATCCAGAGCGACTTACAGTTAGTGAGTGCATACAAATTCTTTTTTTCATACTGGCCCCCCGTGGGAATCGAACCCACAACCCTGGCGTTGCAAGCGCCATGCTCTACCAACTGACTTACACGGGGCCCAAGACACAAGATCAAGAGCTAATTTATTAGTTAGTGGCTGAAATAATCAATTCATTTTATGATTGTATGAATATTCTAAACAGCCAAGTACCCTACATGGCTCCCTTCACAAAAAAAGTCTAATGCCCTGTGTGATCCGCATGGGCCGCCCCAGCGCAATGCGATACCGTGGTCACCTGACCGCGCTGCCAGGCTGTGCGCGTCGCGAGAAGAGTGGCGCGCCCTTTACCGTGTTGTGTCAGGAAGAAATGGAAGCTGGCAATGCACGAATTTGATCATTCAGAGATCCGAACAGTTGAGTCTGTGAATGGCGCCAAAACAGGACCCTAAACCTAAATTTCAAGAAGGTAATGTGCACGGAATGATGAACTGTAAAAGTAAAAACGTAGCAACACCCTGTTGTCTCGTGTGTGAAAAGGCATCGACGCCTCTGTTCGCTATGGCGCTTCTCGCGCAGAGCACGTTAGCCAGCTAGCTAGAACAGTCTGCCCTGCTGGGATGCTAAGCTGCTAGATATATCATCAATATGAAAATGGCCTGAATAATGTATTGAGAAATGTAAGTGTCATATACCATAAGTAGGGTAATAATACACTTTATTTTCGTATTCATTCAGCCAGCTAGTTAGACTGTTTGCGCTAACTGGCTGTGTTGAAACAAAAAGCTAGCTAGCTAATTGCTAACGTGTAAACAATCCCTTGCCAAGGGCCTTGGCTTGAATAGCTACTGTAGCTAGCTAGCTTACTATGTAATTGTGTTACTATTGCATTTGCTTTATAATTTGGCCACAAACAAAATACATTTAGCTACACCTTAGCAAGCCACTGGTATTCAAGGTTTGTTAATATAACCATCCAGCATGTATTTTTTCTGTTTTCAGGTGAAAGAGTTCTGTGTTTTCATGGGCCATTGCTTTACGAAGCAAAGGTGGGTTTAGATTAATTCCACCAATCTAAATGGCAGTCAACTCGTGCTCACTAAACAATAAACCATTTACAGTAGCCTATACCATCATATTTATTAAAAATTCTTAATGACTGTTGTATTTCAGGCGGTGAAAACCAATATCAAGGAGAAGCAAATTAAGTACTTCATTCATTACAGTGGATGGAACAAAAAGTGAGTCATTTTTGCATTGTTGGCTTTTCAAATAATAATATAATATATGCCATTAATAAGACACGTGTATCTAAAGTGACTTACAGTCACTTTAGATACAGGAATTTAATCCACTACCCTGGCGTTGCAAGTACATGGTCCAACACAGCGTTTTCCAAACTCTTGGGGACCCCAAGGGGTGCACGTTTTGGTTTTTGCCCTAACACTACACAGCTGATTCAAATAACCAACTTTGATTATTTGAATCAGCTGTGTAGTGCTAGGGCAAAAACCAAAACATGCACCCTTTGTGAAACGCTTCTCTAACATCTGAGCTAAAGGACATGTACTGTCTCAATGTAGACAGTACTGTTGTCGCTATGGCCCATCTTTTTATTAATGTTTACCTCAGCCACAGACCTAACATTCATGTATTGTTTCAATAAATCTAAACTGACAGCAATCTGAATGTGGTTGATTTCTTTCTGTTTTAGCTGGGATGAATGGGTTCCTGAAAGCAGAGTTCTCAAATATGTGGACAGCAACCTGCAGAAACAAAAAGAGCTTCAAAAGGCTAATCAGTGAGTTCATCTATCATTTACAGACAGATTTTGTGTGGGGTGGGGGAAGTGTTTTAATGTATGGAATGTACCTACTGTGTCAACATTGTATGCAACCTGCCATTGAACGAAATACAAGAATGAGATTCTATATGTCAATCAATGTCTCCCCAGAAATGCCGACGATGACTCGAAGATGGGAGAACATAAAAAGTGATTCCACTTATTTTAATAATGAACCACAATAGTAATCTTTATGTATATAGCACCTATGATACAATACTTGCAGCCCACAGTGCTTTTACTTGTAAGCACTAGTTGAACATAAAACATACTGGTTAAAAGAACGATACATAAAATGATCAGTTTACATGAGAAGACAAGATGTTAAAACAAGTATTTTTGAAGGTTATTGTAGTTCATGGCCTGGTTTCTTGGCGTTGTTCCTTTCTCTTGCAGGCATTATGATGTTGAGGGAAAGATGAGGGGTGTAGCACCGAGCAAGAAGATTGCTGCTGTGCAGCAGAAAAATGTTGATCTGTAAGTTTGTTCTTTTTTCTTTCAAAGTTTGACCTACTTTCAAGCTTTCACAAAAAGAATTGAACAACTCCTTTTTAATGCAGTCTTTTTTTCTTCTTCAGGAAAGCGAAAAAGACAAAACTAAAGAGTAAGTAAAAATGTTAGTCCCACTAGTTTCTGATACTAGTTAATTTAACCCTTTAACATTCCTTTATGGATAGAGTTTGATTGTGTGTCTGTTCCATTTGTCTTTTGTGCAGCACCAGGGGCTGGAGAAGGCACCAGCACAGGGGAGATGCCACAGCCACCGCGGAAGAAGAGGGCCCGTGTCGACCCAACTGTGGAGAGTGTATGTCCATCTATGGATGCTGTGTGTTGTCCCTCACATACAGCAGGCCTGTTTTGTTCACCAAATGAAGCCTCTCATAATCTGCAACAATGGCTCCAGTTACTTAAGATGTCGTACAGCAGTCAGTCAAACACAGATGGGATTTGTAGTTTTTAAACAAAACCCATAGCTTTCTTTTCCTCATTTTTCACATCTCTCTTATTGTAAATGAGTGTGACTGTTACATTTTGGTTTTAATGTAATCAGGAGGAGACGTTCATCAACCGTGTGGAGGTCAAGGTGAAGATTCCTGAGGAGCTGAAGCCATGGCTGGTGGATGACTGGGACCTTATTACCAGACAGAAGCAGGTGGGGGTCTAGACAGCTGTCTACCAGGGTTGGGCTCAATTCCAATTGAAGATGGTAAATTCAGGAATTTGAATTTTAAACTTCAAAAATTGAAAAACTCATTTAAAATAGATGGCTTTTTTTCTCTGAAATTATTGAATTGGAATTTCAGTTCCTGAATTGACTGCCTTCACTTCAAATTGAACCCAACCCTGCTGTCTACCATGGTCAGAAGATGGCAACAACAATTTACTGGCAAGACAGTCTTTCTCTACAAGTTAATTCTTTACAGGATTTTGTTTGTTTAAGCGTATTTATGAGGTTCTTGCCAAATATGTATACATTATATTTTTCTATATATATTTTTTTTTTTTAGCTTTTTCACTTGCCCGCGAAAAAGAATGTGGATACTGTCTTGGAGGACTATGCAAGCTATAAGAAATCAAGAGGAACTTCAGAGAGCAAGTAAGCAAAACCACACCCCTCTCGACGCTGCAGTAGGAGTGAAGTTACAATTAAAAAGGTCATCTGAATAGAAACCAGGCAATTACAAAGTAGGCCTATATCTGGTTGTTTATCAAAGTTCGCTAGCTGTAATTATCTTGCTTGGTGAAGTTCAACCTGGGTATCACACATTCTTTAGCCCCAGCTGTGAACACACCAGCACTGCGTGTTCACTTATCTCCTGTCCTGGTTCCCCTCAGGGAGTATGCTGTGAACGAGGTGGTGGCAGGGATCAGGGAGTACTTCAACGTCATGCTGGGCACTCAGTTGCTCTATAAGTTTGAGAGGCCCCAGTACGCAGAGATACTGGCGGATCACCCCGACACACCCATGTCCCAGGTCTACGGGGCCCCGCACCTGCTCCGGCTCTTTGGTACGTAGCCACCAGGGGTGGGGGGGGGGGGTGCGTATATAAAGTGCATATATAATGGTCGGTCTGAATGAGGAGCATCTGAAGTGTCCTCTGGACTGTAACTTTGAACTAATATTTCAGTTTGAATCTCAGGAGACCAAGGTTGTGGTGATGGAGCTCTTTAGGAGAGGTGAAGACCGATGGGAAATAGTTCTCTCTTTTTAGTTATTAGAGAGCCGTAGGAAAGTTTAGTACCGTTTTTCTACTCTTCTCCTACCACCTGTCATTGGTGCACTGTGACATCACCCACGAAAGCTCTCATCTCACGCCGTACTGCTAATGAAGGAGACTTTTAATAGATTTCTGTGTCGGCCATTTTCACAGCGGGGATGAGAGTTTACTTTCTCCTCCCGAGGCTTTTGGAGTCAATGGGGTGTAAGAGAAAGTGTAACGTGCAATACCCGGGGAAGGCCAGAAAGTCCAAGTGTCTGCGGCTGCCACAAATTGCATCCAGAATCCCATTTTGTTAGTTAATGAATGAAAGCGGTGACTTTGAGCAGATCTTTAACCACCAGCAATTGGGTTCTGATCTCAAACCGGTGTGATCATCAACCGGAGTAAATGCCAGGGACATTTGAAAGCATCTCGTTAAGAGCCAGGTTGAACAGGTTGAACTGAGGTTAGTGTAATCAATGGCTGTGTCAAACACTTGAAGGTTGAACGCCAGGCGTCAATTGGCTGTGCTCTCTGCAAACGAAAACTGCTGAAATTATTTAGGAGTGCGTTTAACAAAGTCACAACACACTTTACAGATTTTAAATTTAAAAAAATATATAGCAGTTTCCATGGGTGTGAGGTTTTATCAGCTAATAATTATCTATCCATACCTGCATTGAGAGCATTTATTCAAATAAATATCTAACGCTAATATAGATGAATGTCTGTGTACATATGGTTGAATCTGGTTCCTGACAGTGCTGTTCTTTGTGTTGTGCAGTGAGAATTGGAGCTATGCTGGCCTACACTCCCCTGGACGAGAAGAGCCTGGCTCTGCTACTCAACTATCTGCAGGATTTCCTCAAGTAAGAAGCCTCCCCTTGGCAGAGCATTCCCTAACCTGGCTGGCCTATCATATTTATATGTTGTCATCAGAAGGTGTTCACCGTTGTAGCCCACTGACCACGAAATGCTGCTATCTAATTTTGCACCTCGGCTCAGCCTAAGCTGGGCAACACAATCTTGACACTGACAGAAATTCTGAAATTGGAAGTCCCCAACTTTCTGATACCACTCTCACAAGAAGTTATCAAGACCATTGGATTCCAGAGTAGACCTAATCATACAGCTTATTTCAGTCATCCTGATGAAGCAATTACAGTTCCTTTGTTCACTGTTGCTCTGTCATCAATGTTTTCCTTGCAGTCGGCCTAAATGTCTCGCATGGTGCTGTCTGTGTGTATACCCTAGAGACTATCTGTGAAAGAGGCCATGATCCTGATCCTATCCTATTTCCTGTGAACAATGTGGCCTTATCCTAATTGCTGCAGATGATTATTTGGATAAACTCCGTTAAATGTCCAAATGGAGGCTTGGTTATAATTCGTTACGATGAGCTGATACGCTCCTCATTCTTCCACAGCCTGTAATATTTATAGACTTCATAGAGGCCTATCACCTTTTATGAATACAGATGCCATGTTGTCAATTTTATATGGCTGGTAATTGACATCCGATCGCTTGTCCTCCTGTCTGTCTGTCGTAGGTATCTAGTGAAGAACTCCTCCCTCTTCAGTGCCAGCGACTACGAGGTGGCGCCCCCAGAATACCATAGGAAAGCAGTCTGAGAGGAAAGTGCAGTTGGGGACGATCGACCCCTTTCGGGAACACCAAGCCTCTTCCAGACTACACGTGACCATCTAAACCTCTTGAGTGGAAAGCTGGACTCAATTCTTTCACTTGAACTCTTTCTGGAGGTTCCCTGGAGTCTGTTGTCTTTGGAGCAGAGCTTTTAAGATAGAAAGTGTTTTTCTTTCTTTCCCTCCTACGTAAAACAAATGAGACAGGCATGTTTTTCTCCCAATATCGGGGACTTTTTTCCATGAGCAGCTCTGTTTCTGTTTTTGTCTGTTTTCACTTCAAATGGCTTTGCATGTGTTGATTTATGGGTATTTGTTAGCATAAATTACATATGCGATTCGATGCTAACCACAATTTGTGCAAAGCAATCGAATTCAAATGTCTTTGGTGGATACATTAGCTGTGTAATGGTTGGCTATCATTTTGTAATAAAGATGTTTCTACACAAGTTCTGTATGGTAGATATCCTTAATTCGCCCTGCCAACCTGTACTCTACAATACAGAAATAATCTTCTCATTAATTTGACATTCGTGAAACTATTTTGAGATCGAACAATGGCTATTTGAATTCCCATTAGATGGTTCTCACTCAAGTTTTGTCACATGCACAATCACAGTGAAATGCTTGACTTGCAAGCCCTTCCCAACAGTGCAGTATTCAATATCAAAATAGTATTAACAAAAAAACTACTGGAGAATGTAAAGTCTAAACATGGTCAGTGCCAGTACCAAATGTGTAGGGATACTGGAGTAGTTGGGGTATATATGTACATGTATGCAGGGATACTGGAGTAGTTGAGGTAGATATGTACATGTATGCAGGGATACTGGAGTAGTTGAGGTAGATACGTACATGTATGCAGGGATACTGGAGTAGTTGGGGTATATATGTACATGCATGCAGGGATACTGGAGTATTTGGGGTATATATGTACATGCATGCAGGGATACTGGAGTAGTTGAGGTAGATACGTACATGTAGGCAGGGGTTAGGAGAAAGTGACTGGTAGCAGGATGAATAATACTAAACAGTATGACAGCAGCATAAGTGATGCGTGTTTGTGCAACACTGTCAGTGTAGGTGTGATAGGTGGGAATATACATTGTGTACAAAACATGAAGAACAACTTACTAATATTAAGTTGCACCCCCGCCTTTTGCCCTCAGAACAGCCTCAATCGGTCAGTGCATGGACTCAAACGAGGTGTTGAAAGCGGTCCACAGGAATGTTGACTCATGTCTCCCACAGTTGTGTCAAGTTGGCTGGATGTCCTTTGGGTGGTGGACCATTCTTGATACACACGGGAAACTTGAGCGTGACAAACCCAGCAGTGTTGCAGTTCTTGACACAAACCGGTGCGCCTGGCACCTACTACCATACCCCGTTCAAAGGCGCTTAAATATTTTGTCTTGCCCATTCACCCTCTGAATGGCACACATACACAATCTGTCTCAAGACTTTAAAATCCTTCTTTAACCTGTCTCCTCCCCTTTATCTACACTGATTGAAGTGGATTTAACAGGTGACATCAATATGGGATCATCGTTTTCACCTGGTCATTCTTGTCATGGAAAGAGCAGGTGTCCTTAATGTTTTGTACACATGTAAACAGGCATGAAAAAGTACTGGTAACCAGAATATATAAATACTTATGGTAATATACATGTATACATGTAAACAGGAGTGATATCGTGACACCGGCTCCGACGCTCGTCGGATGTGGCAGGGCTTGCAAACTATTACGGACTACAAAGGGAAGCACAGCCGCGAGCTGCCCAGTGACACGAGCCTACCAGACGAGCTAAATGACTTCTATGCGCGCTTCGAGGCAAGCAACACTGAAGCATGCTGTTCCGGACGACTGTGGGATCACGCTCTCCGTAGCCGATGTGAGCAAGACCTTTAAACAGGGCAACATTCACGGATTACCAGGAAGTGTACTCCGAGCATGCGCTGACCAACTGGCAAGTGTCTTCACTGACATTTTCAACCTGTCCCTGACCGAGTCTGTAATACCTACATGTTTCAAGCAGACCACCATAGTCCCTGTGCCCAAGAACACCAAGGTAACCTGCCTAAATGACTACCGACCCGTTGCACTCACGTCTGTAGCCATGAAGTGCTTTGAAAGGCTGGTCATAGCTCACATCAACACCATTATCCCAGAAACCCTATACCCACTCCAATTTGCATACCGCCCCAACAGATCCACAGATGACGCAATCTCTATTGCACTCCACACTGCCCTTTCCCACCTGGACAAATGGAACACCTACGTGAGAATGCTATTCATTGACTATAGCTCATCGTTCAACACCATAGTGCCCTCAAAACTCATGACTAAGCTAAGGACCCTGGGACTAAACTCCTCGCTCTGCAACTGGATCCTGGACTTCCTGATGGGCCGCCCCCAGGTGGTAAGGGTAGGTAACAACACATCTGCCACGCTGATCCTCAACACGGGGCCCCTCAGGTGTGCGTGCTCAGTCCCCTCCTGTACTCCCTGTTCACCCTTGACTGCATGGCCAAGCACGACTCCAACACCATCATTAAGTTTGCCGACGACACAACAGTGGTAGGCCTGATCACCGACAACGATGAGACAGCCTATAGGGAGGAGGTCCGAGACCTGGCCGTGTGGTGCCAGGATAACAACCTCTCCCTCAACGTGATCAAGACAAAGGAGCTGATCGTGGACTACAGGAAAAGGGGGGCCGAGCACGCCCCCATTCTCATCGACGGGGCTGTAGCGGAGCAGGTTGAGAGCTTCAAGTTCCTTGGTGTCCACATCACCAACAAACTATCATGGTCCAAACACACCAAGACAGTCGTGAAGAGGGCACGACAATGCCTATTCCCCCTCAGGAGACTGAAAAGATTTTGCATGGGTCCTCAGATCCTCAAAAGGTTATACAGCTGCACCATCGAGAGCATCCTGACTGGTTGCTTCACCGCCTGGTATGGCAACTGCTCGGCCTCCGACCGCAAGGCACTACAGAGGGTAGTGCGTACGGCCTAGTACATCACTGGGGCCAAGCTTCCTGCCACCCAGGACCTCTATACCAGGTGGTGTCAGAGGAAGGCCCTAAAAATTGCCAAAGACTCCAGCCACCCTAGTCATAGACTGTTTTTTTAATTGTATTTATTTATTTAACTAGGCAAGTCAGTCAAGAACAAATTCTTATTTACAATGACGGCCTACACCGGCCAAACCCGGACGATGCTGGACCAATTGTGCGCTGCCCTGTGGGACTCCCAATCACGGCCGGTTGTGATACAGCCTGGAATCGAACCAGGGGGTCTGTAGTGACGCCTCAAGCACTGAAATGCAGTGCCTTAGACCGCTGCACTACTCGGGAGCTGTTCTCTCTGCTACCGCACGGCAAGCAGTACTGTAGCACCAAGTCTTGGTCCAAAAGGCTCCTTAACAGCTTCTACCCCCAAGCCATAAGACTCCTGAACAGCTAATCAAATGGCTACCCGGACTATTTGCATTGACCCCCCCACCCCCATCTTTACACTGCTGCTACTCCACCTACACGTACATCTTTTTTTACTTCAGTTTAATTCAGTAAATACTTTCTTAACACTTATTTTTCTTAAAACTGCATTGTTGGTTTAGGGCTTGTAAGTAAGCATTTCACTGTAAGGTCTACCCCTGTTGTATTCGGCGCATGTGACAAATAACATTTGATTTGAAGATACTATCTATTTATAGAGTTAATGGTAATCAACGAACAGCAGTGTAATGGTAGTAATAAATCGAATCAATAATTTTCTTAGCAGCGTAGGTGTGAGGTGGTGTGTGGGTGTATGTGAGTGTGCGTGTGAGTAAGAGTGACAGTGAAGGTGTGTCTGAGTGGGTAGAGACCTGTGGGAGAGGGAGAGCAGTAGCTGTTAGCAATTTAACAGTCTCATGGCCAGGGGATAGAAGATGTTTAGGGGTCTGTTGGTCTGAGCCTTGATGCATGTCTCGGGTGGCTGGAGACTTTCGCAATTTTTCGTCCCAACCAAGAAAGACAATTTGAAAGATAGCTGCAGTTCAATTTCCTCTGGAGCTTTTGCTGAATTTTTATGGAGCTTGCGTATTTCTTTGTGTAAGAATAATTGCTAGAGAGTTTAGAAGCTGAAACCTGGACCCATTTAAGCTGATAAGAGGATGGCCTCAATTGAGGATTAATAGTCTTCAGATCAGGAGGAAGAATTCCTGGAGAAATATTAAAGGCTTGGACTAAAAACAAAACAGAGGAGAGATTTGTTTTTTTTACAGTGTGCTATGTAATCTACTTCCTGTACAGGGGTGTCCTATATCATCTACTTCCTGTACAGTGGTGCCCCAGATCATCTACTTCCTGTACAGTGGTGCCCCAGATCATCTACTTCCTGTCCAGTGGTGTCCTAGATCATCTACTTCCTGTACAGTGGTCTCCCAGATAATCTACTTCCTGTACAGTGGTTTCCTAGATCATCTACTTCCTGTACAGTGGTGACCTAGATCATCTACTTCCTGTACAGTGGTGACCTAGATCATCTACTTCCTGTACAGTGGTGCTCTATACCATCTACCTTCTATATGCGTAAATGTTTTGCTCCATGAAGTAATAAAAACAAATTCAAGTATTTTCTCATTGATTTTAGACATTTTGTAGCTAACCTACTCCAAGATCTGTGGAGATAGGCCTTTGCAAAAAATAAAGGGAAAGGACTTGAATCAATAAGGTACCAAAATCATGATTTTAATTGACTGTTTTTCTTTCCTGCGAATACAAGGCTGTTATGGTGTCTTTCTAACAGCTTCCACCAACAAATGCAAGCTGCAACTCCAACCGAGTCAGTCAGTAACCGGTGAGTGACAAACTAACTAAATGTGGACTGCTAAATGTAGACTTCTAAATGTGGACTGCTAAATGTAGACTGCTAAATGTAGACTTCTAAATGTAGACTTCTAAATGTAAACTGCTAAATGTGGACTGCTAAATGTAGACTGCTAAATGTGGACTGCTAAATGTAGACTGCTAAATGTAGACTGCTAAATGTGGACTGCTAAATGTGGACTGCTAAATGTAGACTGCTAAATGTGGACTGCTAAATGTAGACTGCTAAATGTAGACTGCTAAATGTAGACTGCTAAATGTGGACGGCTAAATGTGGACTGCTAAATGTAGACTGCTAAATGTAGACTGCTAAATGTGGACTGCTAAATGTGGACTGCTAAATGTAG